GCGAATTGATGAAACACACAAATCGTGGAAGCGCTGGTGTGTACAGTGAGGTAGCATTTCAATAGCTCTTACAATTACTGCATACGCGTTTCCTTGTTCCGAATGATATAACTGTCCCCACTTACAATCATTTATGCTTCCGGCTATTTACACCTGCACTGCACATCAAACTCATCTCTTTCTTTTGCTTTTGCGGAGGAAGCTTTGCCACCGTCGCCTTATTTCAGGATATACCAAGGAAGCCAACTGTGGCTATAAACTTTATCGAAGTTCTTTCAGTTTCGGAGAGACAGCTCTTGCCACTAAATCACTCCTCAGGACCAAGATTAAACTCATTCTTTATGAGAAAAAGAAACTCTTAGAGCGAGAGAGAGCGGATAGCATACACCTTTTAAGGACTGCTCTGGTGGAGCTCACCCTTCTGAGGGTTGTTGCTCTGGGTGTACCTGTATTCCGTCACACAATTGAGCTATCTATTTTCAGCTACTAAGAGTGATGTTTACATTAACATTTTTTCGTTCACCAAACAGGACACATATATATTTTTGTACATACGTGCCATGCGCTTGAGTATAGAAGTGAGAAAACACCGCATGACTACGCTAATCCAATGGCAGTTGTTTCATTCTGCTCAAAAAAAAAAAAAAAAAACGCACAGAAATTCTCGAGATGTTAAATCAAAAGTTACCACTGATCCTCATTCACAAGTTTTTAATTTAAAGTTTCTGCGTAGTCGGAGATCAGTCATCAAATTTGATTAACTGCTCTCCCACGCGCAAGAAACTGCGCGCAAGCTCCACAGTCCCTTCTCAGCAAAACTGATAAATCTTCAAATTGGGAAATCTAGTTGAGGAAAGAAGCAAAAGCATTTTTTGTTAAAAATAAAAAATTTGCTGGGAAATTTAATTTTGTTAACAAGATGAAAACACAATGTTTTTTTTTTTTTTTTGAGGGAAGCGCAACAGGACGATGCAAAACAGATAAGAAAGGCAATTTCACGGGGAAAAAATTGAAAAATTTTGTAATGTGCGCAGTAGTACAATTTTATATACTTTTTCCTTGTTATCTGCCTAAATTGCCGACAGTTTTTGCGGAACAAAAATTATTGATCAAAAATGCGGAGACTACGCATACGGGGACATAGATGTTGGTTAGGTTAATAGCACAGTCTCAAAAGGCATGTAAAAAACGAGTACTGCAAAAAATAAATGTTTTTAAGGTAAAATTTATAATTTTATTAGAATAAAATCAGATTTGGACAAATACAATGACTAAAATATTATTTTTATTCCGGTAATTCTTTGCAGCTGTTGCTCAAAATCGCATTTTATTATCGTTGTTATTATTCATACTATTGTTATTTTAATTATCGCTATTGTTATTGTTGTTACTGCTATCAATAAACATTACTGCCAAAATGTAGTTCTCTGTTTTGGTCTTCCAAAAGGCCTAAAGATATTTGATGCATAACAGCTAAAAGTGTCAAGATCTATTAGTTTTTGATCAAGTGACTTTCAGATAAAAATTATTTTTCAGAAATTAAGAACACTTCCGACTTTAGCACATAGTAAGACTTTAGCCGTTTCACGGGATGTAATTGCTGTGTGCTGGGTATTACAAACTCATTCTTGTTCCAGGTGTCAAAGTTCATGACGACTGAAACACTTCAAACTTCTAGAATGCGATGAGATGCGTTTATAAAAAGAATGTGCAAACCGCGTCCAAACTAACTGCAGCAGTAAAAAAGCATGCGTATATACTGGTCTTGGTCTTCTAAGTATATAATATGCACATAATTTTATTTCTTTTAAATTCAAACCGAACTTTTAAAGGGGAAATACTCCTTAATAATTCTAATAAAATACCTCTTCATAATTCTAAGAAGAATCTGAAAAATACCAAACCTTGCTGGTATTTGCTGAATCGGATCCAATGCCCGAATCAGTACTGTCAGCTGGCCGATGTATTTCAGCGTATTCCACACCGTTCACTCCATCCACAGCGCCTGCAGTCGGCTCACTACGATCTGCAAGTACTGATTATCATGAAAGTTCCGAAAAACTAAAACTTTTCGCCAGAAACTTCTACGGAGCATCTTACCAACAGTATTTTTAAAATGAAAAATAAAAAAGAGTATCAAATTTTCGAGGAAAAAATCAGTATCAGTATAATTCGGGGAAATTCGGGGAAATCAAGGAAATCAGTATAATTCGGGGAAATCAGTATAAACGAACATTCTGAATCAATTCTTGAAAAAGTCCAAAAAAAATCTTTTTTTGGTTGAAATCAGTTTTATGAAAGCTATAACTTAATCACCGGTCCCAGCAGAATCGTCCGGGGCAATCGACATAGAACTCTCAGCGTTACAAAGATGCGAATCAGTCAGTCACAGAAGAGTCGATAAATGATTCTAATGAATGTTTCTTTTTAAACACGTTTGTGTACGCCAAATAAGTTGTGCAGTTGTCCAAAATTTCAATCAGATGCATCACATTTTATGGTTAGTACAAATGGCAGACAAATGAAGTGAAATTTCGATAACTACGCCATCAACACTGTTTTAAATGCCCCCTCCTCCCTCCCCCGCCTTGTACCGCACTCTGCCCGTATTCTGTCCATTTCCTGCTCCATTTCTCTGACCAAAACAAAATTACGGAAGAAAAGGATGGTCCGCGGGTGAAGTAGTTGAAAATTTTAGACCTACAAGTAGAAACGTTACTATTTGGAATTTATTACTGTAGCAAGTGGCTTTTTTTTTATGTCGCAAATACATTTACACCATTTTAAAAAAAAAAGTAATCTTTACGATTTGTTTCGATAGCAAATTGGTATTGGCGAAAGAGAGTCATTTTACTTCTAAAAAAGCTTGCAAAAGAAAAAACCATCAACTTGCGTTTTACTGCACTTAATAGTGTGCTATAGTCTGAGTTACTTCCCACTGCTTCCACTTCTTATGCAAAGTGATACATGGAAGGGATTTTGGCTTTCGTTCTGACAGTTTCGGGAACGCTTATAGTGGATTAACAAAATGAAAAGCCTAGTAAATTAAAAAATTTAGGCAGCACGGCGGCAAACACGGTGCAGTAAGAAGTAGCACTATTAGTAATAGTTCGAGTTCGTCAGTGGGACAAGTAATCCGTCTACAATTCGTTCATTTGTTTCGATGGTACTGGCACATGCCACAGAGTTAAATTTGCCTTCAGCGTACTTGTAAGCTACCACTAAAAGGGAAGCCACTGAGTGCTACTGACGTTTTTTACCATCCAAGTTTTCCCATCTTCCCACAGAGAGCGAATAAGAAGGGGATTTTGAGTCAGGGCGCTGCAAAATTATAAATTTAAGGACTGGAGTACTCTTTAATTTGATAGGTTGATAATTGCCCATAGCCAGTTGTTTCCACTATGAAACTGGCAAGAAATGAAATGAGACGGGATACTCAAAAAATAGTGCTTGGTGCAAGTAAACCGAAAAATGAGTTTTGAATCGCATGCAAAAACAAAATACAAATAAATAGCAACGCGCGCCAGACTAGCCGGTGCGATCATGCATTTTGTGCAGTTCAACCCATCAAACGATTGCCTATTAATGATTTCCATTGCTTTGTACTT